TATAGCCTTGCAGTAAAAAAAAGTATACTAATCTTTTGAATTGTTGTATTCTGTGGTTTGAACTTATTAACACTTGTGCAGTGCTTTTATTCCTCTACATACTGAGTTTTGTTTATACGTACCTTTGAAGTAGACCAGAACTCCTGATCTATGTGCTAGTCCTATGTCAGAAAAGAAGAAAGGTTTGCAACCATTTAACAGGTAAACATTTCTATGACCTTCTTTTATATTTTAAATGCGGATGGGCCATTAGCGGACCCTCCTTTAACCTCTAGGTGTTTGTAAGTGGATATACAGTACTTACATGTATTTGCTAAGCCAGGATATGTGCCATATGGCCTGCCCAGTATCACATAGCCACTGCTTTAGGCGGACCTAAATCCACTGATTTAACAGTTTAAAAAAACAGTTACATTTCTGGCATGCTGGGAATGCTACCTGTCATATTTGCTTGTGCTCTCAAACAAACTGTCAAACCATCAAATGGCTGGTGTCATAACTGATAACATGTGCAGTGTCATGGCAGTTGCAGATCAAATAGAGACCAAGATGGCAGCTTCCTTTCCTGAAAAAGATAGGAGGGTTTAGTTCCACTTTAAGATTGTTGGCCTATCCACCTCCAGTTTGACTCTACTTAAGAAGACAGGGGCCCACCAAAGGTAATGGAGCCCATAATAAGAAAAATGAATAACAGTTTGTATCAGCAGTCTAAATGTAAATATAAAACATTAGCTCTGCTTTAAAGAAAACTTGCCCTGGGGGATACTGTATATGTAGGCTACCACTGCTGAGCTATCATTTTGTTAATGTTAATCCCCTAACTCCCATGGAGTCATGATTAAGTGCTGATATAGCATGAAATGTGTTGACTTTTTTTAGTCCCGATGGTGTCTTTTTGCCATACTATTTTGTTCTTATGCCTGGATAAATTGGATATTTTGGAGGGCAGTTGTCCAGTTGTTTGAAGATTTATCTTAATCCCCTGGCTGTCATGCTCAAGCTTTGACTTCAGTACTTTGACTAACTGACCTGGAACAAGTATATAGCAGGTGAGGAGATAAGTCAAAGTCTGATCTATGCAGTTTCATGGCCAATGCCTCGGTGTATTGAATGTAGCAGGATAGTAGACATACTAGGCAAAAAACATTTTCAGAAGCAGAGATTTACAGTGGCAATGTGCATTTTTCTCTCAGTACAAGTTTCCTTTAATACTAAATGCAATTTAATCAGATGAAGAAAAAGAAAACCATCGTCAATTCCACTAATTCATTTTATTGAATGTTAGCATTGTGCAAGCATATCTTTTTTAATACTTACCTATACACAAGACTCCACAAATTGTCTTTTACTGGTACAGACTTTAGAACAAAATGAACAATAACCTAAAAAATCACTATATTAGGACAAAAGAAAATATTTCTACTGTAAAAAATGAAAATAATTCCAGGGATTGTTTAAGAGGTGTGGTTAAAATAGAACTTTAATCAGAAAATTAAGTTCGACTGGATCATCTCAGGCTGGCCCCTTTTGCATGTATACCAATGTAAAACATTAAAAATAAGAGCCTATACTGTTTCAAAACCAGTAATACACTGTCTCACCCTGTTCTGCAGATGCTCAGTTGTTCTCTCTTTTCAGCACTGTGACGAAAATGTAGGGGCCAATCCTCTGACAGCCTAAAGATTTACTGCTGCTCAGGGCTCTGGGCTTCAACAAAATGTCAGCCTCCAGCCAAAAGAAACAGAAGCAATTCTCGAGGCAATTTACAGTGTACACTAATTTTGGTCGCATACTTTTTAATACGGAATGTATGTTTCTTGCTAAAGAACATTATTTTTTATCAAGTTGTTATGGGTAAAGTTCCACTTTACTGAAGCTGTGCAGTGCACATAGGCAATGACAACAATCAGTTTTAGGATGCAAAAAAGTTGTCACCATGCAGTGTCTCTACAGACCTAATAATTGGTACGGAGAGTTACACCAATCATACAAAATAGTAGTGCTACAGAATAGCATCCATACATTATATACAGAATAAGAATAGATACTTAGAGTTAAACTCAGCATAAAGATGTGCAGCTGTAATTTGTCTTGTTTACATCCAAAGAGCAAAAAACAGAGAATAGTATGCAGTGTCTTTGAAAAGTAGTAGTATGTAGTATCCATATATAAATGTTGTCCAACTTCCAAAAACATTAAAGTGCATGTAAACCTTCACCTTGTAAAACAACCCATTCGGTTTAACATAGAAATGAAAGGCAAAACCTTTGTGTATAGATATAAACAAAATTAGAAATACCCATCTTCCCTTTTTTATAAGTGATCACATTCCCTCTGTTCTCAGCTGCATAAGAAGCACAGGGTGGAGAAACAGCAGCACACCGATCTTCCCAGTGAATGGCTGTGCAAGGGGGTGGGGTGACAGGACATATCTGATCATTGCAGGAGAGGAGACTGAATTCCCAGCACAGCTGGAGAACTGACCACGGTGTGTTCTCCTTAGCGTGGTCAGTTTTTAATAGGAAAAGCAGAGGGGCTGGCAAAATCACCAGGATTTTCAAACAAAGGAAGCAATACAAAGAGAACAGGATACTTTTTCATACAAGTACATGGTATAGCAGACAGGTATCAGGAATACGAAATGGTAGAAATCAAAACAGCCTTTTACACATTTTGAACCTGTCAGGACTGTCTAGCCAAATACAAGCCACTTTGCAGCTGTTAAGAGAAGCTGGCTGGCTAAGATCTCTGGTGAATGAGAGGAATCGAGGAAGATTTGTGCATCATGCAGGGTAATAAGAGTCAACAAAGGGGCATGGCTGGGATGTGAGCCGGACTAGACGCATGGTGCTGGAGTTCTGATCCTGTATTGTCTCCTTCACTTTTCATTGAGCTCTGATTCTCATTATTCAGGATTGGGAACCCTGATATAACACTCCAGCATGCTGCGGTAGCTTTTGAGGTTCGCCCATAGCATCCAGCAAGCTGCGCACTTCCCGATCCCAATTTGACACTCTTCGCCCTTCTTTTTCTTCAGCTATCTTGACAACACAGTCAGTCACAACGGCCTTGTCTGTAGGCACGCAGACCTCCCCAGATGCCAGCACTGAGGGAAGATGCAGGTCCACTGCGGACCTCCTAGAGCCGATTACGGCCTGCAAAGAGACCCTAACAGCCAAGATAGATTTCCTGGCAATGGACATTAGCATGCTTTGGCATGACCTGGAGAAATTTTGCTCCAGGATCTCGGAGGTGGAGGAGCACGTCTCTGAAGTGGGGGGCACAGTCCGGGCGGACTACACAGATCTCTGGACCCTCCAGCTGCATGTCAGAGCTCTACCGAAAGAAGGCACCTGACACAGAAAACCAACTGAGAAGAAACAACATCTGCATCCTCGAAAAGGACCGAGGGAACCAAACCAACAGAATTTGCTGAACAACTGCTGACTTCCCTCTTTGATCTTACCAATATGGAATCTATGTTCGTGGTGGAACAGGCCCACAGGGTGCCTCCTACACCCCCTATTCCAGGAGCTCTGTTGAGGCTCTTCCTCCTCAACTTGCTAAACTACAGAGACCAGGACTGGATCCTGGAGGCTGCCCGCACAAAACAGACCTACCCACCAAGCTCCTACTGTTCCCAGACTACTCGCCAGAGATACAACACTGCAGATCCTTCACTGAGATCCGCAAACACCTCGGGAAAAAAACATCAAATTCAGCCTCCTCTGTCCAAGCAGGCTGTAGAACGTGGATGGGGACCAGGTCTGGTTCTTTGACACCTTGGAGGCCACCTCTGACTTGGGTGACACCCACAGCGGCTACCTGGTCTTCAGGCCTACACTCTTGTCTACCTCGTGGTTTCCACAAATATCCCAGCACACTACTTTCTTCTTCTTCCGCTTTCTTTTTCCTCTTTCTTCTTCTCTGCTGGCCGAGCAAACCAACTACTCCTTCTAGTGCCTTATGGCTCCTGAGCTCTTCCACAGGAGCTCCAGCCCACTTTCCCTTACCTTCGCTCAGTGGACTGTTTTGCTTTTTTTTTTCTAAATTGTGCAGTGCTGTTTCCACCATAGTGAGTGTTCTCAACTGCTCCCAGTTTTTTTGGCACCCCCCCTCTGTCTATGGATGTTTCCTTGCTTTTAGAACCTATCCCTGTTTGGGACTTTGTCTTCTGCATATCCTCAGGGACCACTACTGGACATAGTATAATTACTATTACCAGTCATCGTTATTTGTTATTGGGTACAGGCCCTTCCCTGCCTATCTTCTGAGTTTTGTAGAGGATGAGGATGGGAATGGGCAGGGTATGCACTTCAGTGCCTAGGGACAGTTATGTTGTTTAATGTTTTGTTTTTTGTTGTGGGCCTGGCTCAGTTTTGCTGCTCAATGGATGTCCATACCATCTACTGGTAATGCCTCCGTTCAAGTCATATCTAATTCTTTCTCATGGCCTCATAGGCTTGTGACTCATTTTCGGTCATGTCCTGGAATATCCGCGGACCCCAGTCCCAAATTCAAAAGAACTCTGCTTTCTCAATACATCACATCGCATACATCCCATATGTCACTAATCTAAGAAATGCATCTCATGGGCAGTATAATTCTAACCTTGGGTTCAAAAGGCTTTTCATGCTACATATTCTACATTTGTTTGAGGGGACTCAATTTTGATAAGCAAATCTTTTCCATGTGTGGTTGAGGTGATCCATACGGACCCCCAAGGTAAATATGTCCTAGTGGTGTTCACTGTATGGGGCAATCGATATGTTGTTGCATCTATATATGACCCCCCCGGTTTACGTTTGCAATTTTGTATACTATGCTGGAGAGGATTACCCTGCACTGCCCCACCGAATTGTTAATTACGGGAGACTTTAATACTATTCTCTCACTGGATCTGGACAGGCCAATCCCACCTAAACACTTCTCTGGTGACTTACTTACATGGGCCCAGGCTGTGGGAGTCACGGAGGTTTGGAGATGGAAGCACCCCTCCACCAGGTCCTACTCCTGCTTTTCCTCTTCATATATGACCTCCTCCCAGGGGCAGACTGACCATTTGGAAACTCGGGCAGTGCCCGAGGGCCCGGGGTCAGTAGGGGGCCTCATGAGATGCCCCTGGTACCTTTTTCATAGGCTTTTTTGAGTTTGGACAAGGACACAGGGGCCCCATGATCCCCTATTGCCCGGGGGGCCCCATGAGTTGTCAGTCTGCCCCTGCCTCCTCCTGTATTGATTTTCAAATCCCACCCTCCTAATTAATGTTATAGATGCCATCTATTTGCCCAGCGATCTCTCCGACCATTCTCTGTGCCTCCGTGCGTCTCTTTGGAGGTTGGGCTCCCACTGGGTTACCTAAGCAGGTAGAAGCTATCCCACCTAAATTGATTGAATACTGGGACCTTAATGCGAGGTCATCCTCTCTGGCAACTGTTTGGGACGCCTTTAAGGCGTTCACGAGAGGCCAATATAGCTCCTCCATAGCAGCAGTCCACAAGAATCTATCCCAAGATACACAGTCCCTGAACCAACAGGTTGCCAAACAGGCTAATGTTTACAACTCTAATCCTGCTGAAGGTAACTTTGACCTGCTACAAGTTCTTTGGAGAGAATTACATTTACATATGACTGAATTGACCAGGCTGGATCTATACGAAAATAAGCAGCGGTTCTTTGAACAGGGGGATAAGAACAGCCACCTACTGGCAATGCTGGCTCAAATTAACAAAAACTGAAAAAAAACGTACATTTCAAAGCTATACAAAAAGGCCTTTTTGAGGTAAGAAGTAATGGGGTAACAATTCACAGCTCTTCTGCAACAACGTAAGTGAATTAAGCCTTGAAAGTGTATCCCATTAATTCCTACAGGTGTCACAACTTTTGCTGACTGCTTACAAGCTCTGTCTGTATAAAAGCAGTGTTGAAGCAGACTGTTATTACACCCTCTTAAGAAATATTTGGACAGTATTGTACTGCAGGAAATAGTATTTTGCTCTCAAAATGGTGATAAAAAGGCAAATACAGAGGAAAGACAGACCATTATAATCCTTGAAAGCATATGTTTTTCCTTTAGAGAAATTGCAAGGAAAGCCAGGGCGTTAGTGAATATAGTTTCCTACACCATCAAAAAGCATTTATAAACTGGCAGAAACTCTGATAGGAGATTTGGCAGACCCAAAGCCACAGCAGAATCAGAAGAAAAGTTTCTGAGAGTCAACAGTTTGCATGACAGACGCTTCACAGGACAACAGCTTTAAGCACAGCTTAACACTGATGGAAGTAAGCAAGCCTCAGTTTCAACTGTGAAGAGAAGACTTCAAGCTGCAGGTTTAACAGGTCAAGTGGCTGTAAGAAAACCTTTACTAAGATGGCAAAATAAGAAAAAGAGGCTTGCCTGGACCATGAAGCCCTGCTAGTGGACTACTGAACACTGGAAGAAGGTCTTATGGACTGATAAATCAAAATTTAAGATCTTCAGTTCATCATGCAGGGTTTCTGTATGCTGTTGAGTAGGCGAAAGGATGTTTCCTCAGTGTGTGACACCAACTGTCAAACATAGGAGAGGAAGTGTGATGGTCTGGGATTCTTTTGCTGGATCCATAGTCTGACATGCAAAAAGTGAGCGGCAGCCTGAACCAAAACTACTACCACAGCATTTTGCAGTGCCATGCAATACCTTTTGGAATATGTCTATTTGGTCAAGGGTTCATCCTAAAGCAAGATATCCAAAACATACCTCCAGGAATGTGTCAGAACTACCCGAGAAGAAAAGAACAAGACGGTAGGCTTCAAATCATGGACTGGCCAGCACAGTTTCCAAACTTAAACCCCATTGAGCTGGTTTGCGATGAACTGCACAGAAAGGTGAAAGTAAAGAAACACATTTGTGGGAACTTCTGCAACAGTGTAGGGAAGAACTTTCCGAACATTATTTGATTTCTTTTGTAGAAAGAATGCCACAAGTGTGCTCAGTTGCAAAAAGTGGCTACTTTGATGAGTCTAAAATTCAGATTACGTTTTATTAAAGAAAACGATTCCATGATATCTTTTTATGTCCATATGTTTATTTGTTGTATGCTTTATTTTTAGAGTACAACGAGACATTAACTTGCGTATATTTTAATAAAAACTGGAAAATGGGAGTGTCGGGGACTCAAGTGGTTAAATAATCAAACAAATTTATATTTCAATTATTTTTGGTTTGGTTTCTTTGACTTTTAATATAGCCATTATATTTAGTGGTTACCTCCTAATAAAACTTGGATTTTTACGTATATGTGTAGTGTCATTTCTCTGAATAGTATATCCACCTTAAAAAAATCGGTACAAAATTTCTGTTTCTATATTCTATTGAACATATACTGTGTATCATTGTTTATAATTATGAGGATGTGTTAATAAAGGCTTGTATACCGCTGGTATTGTGGTACTTCTTTATTTCACAAGGTTTTTTTGTTTTTTTACACAGGCTCTTTGAGGTTCACTAATATTCCCAGGCAGGGTACATCTTCCTTTGAAAGGCAGGAGATGGGTACACTGCCGACAGATATGCTTAGCAGTATGATACACAGGTGTCACATCAATTGAATGCAAGCAGAAACTTGGAATAATCAATGCATGCAGGAAGATGGCAAGATAATAAATTTAAATGTAAATCATAACTCAGTATAAAAATATGTTTTGGCATAGTGTCCTTACAAGACATCTGAAACTAGTAGCTTACATAATCTCTAACATAAATCTAAAACAAACTGACAGCTGCACAGCTGAAAAGCCAACAGCATGGATGTAGGGCAAAGGAGGGAGCAAAGTTGAAATGTGCTGCCAATTTAAAATCAGGATGACATTTTAATGGTTCTAATAAGATCTCTTGTGTGAAATTAGAAGGCACTAAACCAAATAAAGGAAACTTTAAAGTGCTCCAACAAAACAAACAAATTTGCAATATTAGACATATATTGGTCATTTGGATAATAAGGGCAATCCTATGTTATTACTCAAATAAGAATGTTTCATATTTGTATAAGTTCATCCTAGTTGGAATGCACAGTCCGTTTATGTCCAGATGTTGCTCATTGACATCGGGAAGGGGGAGGGTGCAGATATAGCTGAGTCTACGGAATGCTTTCTTAATGTACGTTGGAGAACATTGGACCATTGCACAGACACAACAGGGGTTTATTTACTAAAGCTGGAGAGTCCAAAATCAGACTCCCTTCTGCATAGAAACCAATCAGCTTCTAACCTCAGCTTGTTCAATGAAGCTTTGGCAATGAAACCTGGAAGCTGATTGGTTTCTATGCAGAAGTGAGTCTGATTTTGCACTCTCCAGCTTTAGTAAATAAATCCCAACAGTGTCTGCAGTTTCCCCTGGGCAAAAAGAACTATGAATGCAACAGCCTGAACACATAACAGGCAACAAGATAAATATTACAAATGTTAAAATTGCCCCCTGCTAACAGCCCCCTCCTATACTAATTAACCTGTGCAAAAAAAAAAAAAAAAAAAGATGCATACACTGAACGGCCTAGTCATGCAATCTCTCCCCAGTGGCTGAAGGTAAACAGAGCGCTCACCAATGACTTTGGTAATGCCTGTGCAGTGATATCACCCATATTATTATTATTATACAGTATTTATATAGCGCCAATAGTTTGCTCAGCACTGTACATTATAATGGGAGACAGTACACAAGACAGTACAGTAACAATACAGTACAATACACGAGAGGTTGAGGGCCCTACTCCATGGAGCTTACAATCTAGGAGGGAGGGGATAGTTGTACAGGAGGCTAGCTGTGGGGGATGGAGTGGTAGGAAGAGTGGAGGAGATTGGCAATTAGGTGAGGGTTTACTTATCCCCTGTTGCTGGGCTTCTGGTGTGTCACTTCTGGGCTACCACTATGCATACCTTCCCTCCGGCTACCACTAGGCATACCTTCCCTCCATTAATCCATTGCTATATCTGCATCAAGATGGAGGCGGTCAAAAATTAGGGACTGCATTGCGAAAAGGGGCCTAGCGGCAATGCGTCTTCCACATACACTATATTGCCAAAAGTATTTGGACACCTGCCTTTACACACATGTTAACTTTAATGGCATCCCAGTCTTAGTCCATAGGATTCAATATTGAGTTGGCCCACCCTTTGCAGCTATAACCGCTGCAACAGTTCTGGGAAGGTTGACCACAAGGTTTAGGAGCCTGTGGCTATGTTTGACCATTCTTCCAGAGGTGCATTTGTGTGGTCAGGCACTGATGTCAGATGAGAAGGCCTGGCCTACAGTCTCTGCTCTAATTCATCCCAAAGTTGCAGGCCAGTCAAGTTCCTGTACCCCAAACTCGCTCATCCACATGTCTTTATGGACCTTGCTTTATGGACCTTGCTTTGTGCACAGACATGTTGGAACAGGAAGGGGCCTTCCCCAAACTGTTTCCACAAAATAGGGAGCATATAATTGTCCAAAATGTCTTGGTATGCTGATGCCTTAAGCGTTCCCTTCACTGGAACTAAGGGGCCAAGCCCAACCCCTGAAAAACAACTCCACACCATAATCCCCCCTCCATCAAACTTTACACTTGGCACAATGCAGTCAGGCAAGTACTGTTTTCCTGTCATCTGCCAAACCCAAACACAGCCATCGGATTGCCAGAAAGAGTAGCGTCATTCGTCACTCCAGAGACCATGTCCCTACTGCTCTAGAGGGTTCTGCACCACTGCGTCCAAAGCTTTGCATTGTATTTAGAGATGTAAGGCTTGGATGCAGCCGCTAGGCTATGGAAACCCATTCCATGAAGTTCTCTATGCACTGTTGTTGTGCTACTCTGAAGGCCACACAAAGTTTTGAGGTCTTTAGTTATTGACTCTGCAGACAGTTGGCGACTTCTGTGCACTATGAGCTTCAGCATGCGCTGACCCCCGCTCTGTCATTTTACATGGTCTACCACTTTGTGGTTGAGTTGCTGTTTTTTCCAGTTGATTCCACTTTGTTATAATACCACTAACCGGTGACCATGGAATATTTAGTAGCAAGAAAATTTCACGGATGGACTTATTGCACAGGTGGCTGCCTATCACGGTACCAAGCTTGAATTCACTGAGCTCCTGAGAGTGACCCATTCTTTCAAAAATGTTTGTAGAAGCAGTCTGCATGCCTAGGTGCCTGATTTTATACACCTGTGGCCATGGAGGTGATTGGAACACCCGAATCCAATGATTTGGAGGGGTGT